CTGGAAGAAGAAATAGGACATATGATAGTGGCTGAAAACAGCAAATCCACAGGATTACTGATAGAAAGGGTATTCACTTGAGTGAATACCCTTAAGCCCCTGCTGAACTCACTGAAATAGGTTTTCCTGTGAATACAGCAGAAAGAACTCAGCAAACTGATGAGCACAGCAAATTACAAGGACATGCTGTAAGCAGGTGAGAGATTGTCAAAAGCAAGGCAGGCAGAACAGGGTGATTTGGAGCAGGGCAACAGCCCACAGCCTTTAAGGCATTGAAGTCTGCTTGAGATGAGGATGGTAGGTGCACACATGTGATACAGAACTCTGCTACTCAAAACCCTTTCCTCTCAGTATGCTGCTATTGTCGATACAAAACAATGCTTTAATTAACGAAATCTGGCTACTCCCTCTGTTCCTCACAGTTCCTGCTCAACTGAAGGGAAGAAGAGGACTGAAACCAAAGGCACTGCAGCATAAAACAAGAGCGAGAGCAGAGCAGAAATCCCACCAGCTGGAGGAAGGGCAAACCCCTCCCCAGGAGATGGTCACCTGAGCCCAGGCTGCTTAGTGATTCCCACTGCACAGATATTGCTAGGGTGGTCTGGAGCAAAGGAAGAGGATGTTCAGGCAGGGAAAGGCAAGCACAGAGTAGGACTACTTAAACTTTAACCTGGTAGACTGAGATCAAGTCTCTTGAACTCTGTAATGTTAAACAAACTTACCAAAGGATGGCTGAAGAGGCACAGAAGACAATGGAGTTGCTTCTGAACATGTGTAGGCATGTTACACTTATTTCTCAAAAAATATGTCCTACTAAATTCATACTCTCCCTATCTCAGCTATCACTGACCTACTAGCTGCTACAAAAGTTGATAAATTTACTCAATCTCTTTACTCTCATCTTCCCTGATGCAAGAGGGAACTCAGTATTCAGCAAGAGTTAGTATGTGTCTAGTACTTGAACTGGTCCAAATGGTACGTGCAACACCCACCTCACAACCTACGGGTGGTTTTTTGTCAGCAGTTGCATCCAAAGGATAAAAAAAGCCAAAAAGATTATCCAAACCTCCTCCTCCCGTACCTCCCCCCCCAAAAAATACAAATCAAAAAAACCCATAAAACAAACCAAAAGAACCCCAAAAACACCACAACAAAAAATCAAACCAACCAACCAAAAGAAAAACAACTAAAAACCAAACCAACCAACCAAAAACCAAAATACAAAATAAAAAAAAAAAAAACAGCCCCTACCCCCCCCCCCCCCAAAAAAAAAAAAATAAACAAAAAAAAAAGAAACCAAAAGCCTTCTTTAGAGCAGGCATGTCATAAGATTGTAATGAGACTTCCTGGAGCCAGTTTTCTCAGAAGGATGGATAGTAAATAATTTAAGCCATCAAGGGAAGAGGCCAATTACATCAGTCTAGATATTAGAAAGCAGCCAAGAAACTATAGAAGGTTGTGATTAAGCACTTGATGACTAATTTTGTAGCCTTCATTATAAAACTGACTTTGAAATGGCACTTTTGAAAAGTTGCTTTTATGGTAAATTATTTTTAGACCATACCCTGTAAATTTTTATACATTTTCAGGCTGTTGCTTCTCCATCAGTGAAGACACCTCATCAGCAAAACATACACTCTTAGTTCTCAGAATTACAGCACCCAAAAAAAAGATATAGATTGCAGTTGTTAGCAGTTCATGTATTTTTTCCTCTTCTACATTTTCCAGTTTTTCATATGAACAGTTGTTATTCTCCTACTCAGATCCATTTCTTCTGCTAGGAGTATAAGATTTAAGATAAAAGGGCTCAGAATATTTTCATTTTCTGCAAATTGCTTTGATAAAAAGACTCTGACACATGACTTTAAACTGCACAGAGACATTCAAGTAATTTGTAGGAATTATAATCAGAAATATACATGAATTTCAACAAGAAAATGTGCCTTATAAATACACAGTTTTGGTTCAGTGGTGCTCTGAGCATCCAGAAATAGCAGAGAGATCTTTGTACCCTGTGAGTTATGCAGACACCATGTACCTGCTCTGACCTCAGACACAACATACAATACCCTATTTAAAAAGTGACTAATATGATTTAAAATAAAAATATGGCTTTTGAACAGATTAAGAGCATTAATGCTATCATTTTTTAACTAACTGATTGCTTTGTTTGATTTTCCGTTATTTTTATAGGCGTCCTGCCAATAAATCACTAGAAATAAAAAAGAGGCACACTAGAAAATGTACTACTATGCATCTATTTTGCCACTATGCAAATAGGTATAATCCATCATCTCCAATACCACTTTCAATAGTATCCTTCATATTTAAAATAATTGAATAGTCCAGTGACAGTCTAATTCTTTCCTTTGATAGCCAAGATGTTTTCAAAGGTAAGTTTATTTCCCCCAGTAGCACTTTCTGGATTCTCTACCTAAATAGACTTGAGATCCAAAATACTTTCCCTTTTTTGGCCAGCTTGAGGAATGTTGGAAAGACCTGGAAAAGACATTTTCACATTTCAGGTCTGTCCCAAAAATCTTCACAATCTTCCTGTCATTTCCTTTTTCAATCCATCTGACACTGGATCCTCATCAAATGCCTGAAAATATTTAGGTAAAATGTTTTGTCAATGGCAACCTCAAGACAGAAAATTGTGGGCTGAGTCTTGTTTTTCCTCCTGTCAGGTTCTATTAATGGAAAAAGAGTATTTTTACTAGCAGTGGGCCATGTATGGCTTATTTGATGGAGCTGGGTGCCATCATCCTTAGTGGGAAGAACATGGAATAATCCCAGCATATTACTGCATGTTGAAATAATGTCAGTACCTCTGTACTGCAAAGTCTCCCTACTAGTTTGTATGAATAATGCAAACCCCACTGCTTAGTACTAGGATAAACAAAGAGGGAAGAGCAAAAACAATTTAACAATGAAATATAATTTAATCATCCAACAACACAGTCCATTTCACCACTTCTGCTCTCTCAGAGGCCCATAAATTGACCTGTTTCAAGCTTTCTGAGCAGGTTCATGCCAAGAAGAAAAGCTGACCCTGAATCTATTGTTTTAAAACTCTTTTCTTAGTGTGGGATGGTTTAATCAAGTGTTTTTGTAACTGTGCCAGCAGTATGACTGCTTTGAAATGTTACATGTGTCTAGCACTTATGGTTCAACACTGATACCCGGGGACATATAATGCTAAATACTTGTCATTCTCTAAAGGAAAAGCAGACAAATTCAGGACAGTATGTGCTTCCCATCTGTGTCTTGGAGTGAAGCTGCCTTTCTCTATTAGCCACCAGCTCTCCTATGCTTAATAGTGCAATACATTTTGCTGTTTTTCACTCAGGCATGGTGATGATGGCAGCAAGCAAGAATTCAGTAAAAAAGGGAGACATTCACATTTGTTGCTGCGGTATTTCATGTAGCCCGCCTGCATATTTGTCATGCTGCTGTCTAATGGGGATTTCATGAGGCAGCTCTTTCTAAATACTGTCCTGGAAAAATCCCATGTATCCTGTTTGTCAAGACCATTTCCTTTCTGCGTCTGTACAGTGTTGGTGACCCAGTTGCAGCAATTGATGTAGATAGGGCAGCACAGTGTATAGTATTGATATAATATCCATTCAGTCCAAGAATCCATGTGCTTCTCACAAAGAGGCAGAGAAAGGAAAGCACTGGGAATTGGTTTTGAAGTTACGTAAGTGGTCTGACAAAAGCTTTACTGAATAAATAGCCTCTTTCAAGAAGGATGAGCTTGCAGTGTTTCTAGTATCAGAAAGCAAAGCATTCAAGAGGGCAAGAAGTCCAACAGCACCAGAAAAAAAAAAAATTGAAAAGAAAAACAGGAATGGAAAATATTGCTGGTTGCCATGTGGAATAGTATTACTTTGAAGACTGACACATTTTTTACCTTGCACTTGTAAGCTACAAGCTTTAGATTTAATATTAGATTTTCCATTTTGAATTCCATACTGTCTGTTAAAAAAAAAAAAAAAAAGAAAAAAAAGAAAGAAAAAGGAAAGCAACAGCAACAACAACAAAAACCCCACAAGCCAACAAACCAAACCCTTCCCCTAAAATTAAACTTAATGCTATAGGAACTCAGGGACCTCATAACTCCTTCACAGATATTACAATATTCTTCCTATTATTTCTGTGCTATCATCCCTTCCCTCATGTCATCACTAACCAGGCTCTTACCTATTAAATTATAGTACACGTAAAAGAAATCACTATAAATATGTGTTTTACATTAACCAAGCACTTCACACATTGCCTGAGCAGGAGCTTCACAGCAGGATCTGCTCAAGGTTTTATATCACCCTTGGCAAGCAAAAAATCGCTGACCTTTTAACCAGCCATAGCTGCTTCCCCAGGGCCCAGTTTTTCCCCCAAATCCACCCTCGCTATGGCAGGTGCCTGTGATACAGCCCTTGAAACAGCCACTCCAGCTTTCAGCGCTGCGGAATCACGGAATAATTTCGGCTGGGCGAGACCTCTAAGGCCATCAAGCCCGAGGGAAAGCTGGCAGGTCTCCTGAGCGGCACAAACGGGCTCCCAGCCCCAGCCGGGCGATGGTGATCCCCAGCGCGGCCCCGCGCCGCCCGGGAGCGCGCCCGGAGCGCCGCCCGCGGAGCGCGGCCCGCGCGCGCCCCCTGCCGCGCGCCGCCGGCACTGCAGCGCGACCGCCTGCGCCGCGACAGCGCCGGGAACGCGCCCGGATTGCGCCGGGAACGCGCCCGGATTGCGCCGGGAATGAGCCCGGATTGCGCCGGGAACGCGCCCGGATTGCGCCGGGAATGAGCCCGGATTGCGCCGGGGACGAGCCCGGATTGCGCCGGGAATGAGCCCGGATTGCGCCGGGGACGAGCCCGGATTGCGCCGGGAATGAGCCCGGATTGCGCCGGGAACGAGCCCGGATTGCGCCGGGAACGAGCCCGGATTGCGCCGGGAACGAGCCCGGATTGCTCTGGGAACGCGCCCAGATTGCGCCGGGAATGAGCCCGGATTGCACTGGGAACGAGCCCGGATTGCGCCGGGAACGAGCACGGATTGCGCCAGGAACGCGCCCGGATTGCGCTGGGAATAAGACTGGAGTGCAGCCAGATAGCGCCGGGAACGAGCCGGGATTGCGCCGGGAACGAGCCCGGATTGCCCTGGGAACGCGCCCAGATTGCGCCGGGAATGAGCCCGGATTGCACTGGGAACGAGCCCGGATTGCACCAGGAACGCACCTGGATTGCGCCGGGAACGCGCCCGGATTGCGCTGGGAACGCGCCCGGATTGCGCCGGGAATGAGCCTGGAGTGCAGCCGGATAGCGCCGGGAACGAGCCCAGATTGCGCTGGGAACGAGCCCGGATTGCTCTGGGAACGCGCCCAGATTGCGCCGGGAATGAGCCCGGATTGCACTGGGAACGAGCCCGGATTGCGCCGGGAACGCGCCCGGATTGTGCCGGGAACGCGCCCGGATTGCGCTGGGAATGAGCCTGGAGTGCAGCCGGATAGCGCCGGGAACGAGCCCAGATTGCGCTGGGAATGAGCCCAGATTGCGCCGGGAATGAGCCTGGATTGCGCTTGGAATGAGCCCGGATTGCTCTGGGAACGCGCCCGGATTGCGCCCGGATTGAGGCCGGATTGCGCCGGGAATGAGCCTGGAGTGCAGCCGGATAGCGCCGGGAACGAGCCCAGATTGCGCCGGGAATGAGCCCGGATTGCGCTGGGAATGAGCCCGGATTGCTCTGGGAACGCGCCTGGATTGCGCCGGGAATGAGCCCGGATTGCGCCGGGAATGAGCCCGGATTGCGCCGGGAACGAGCCTGGATTGCGCCGGGAATGAGCCCGGATTACGCCGGGAATACACCAGCAATGCGGCCAGGCTGCACCAGGAATGAGCCCGGATTGCGCCAGAAATGCGCCGCGAATGAGCCCGGAGTGAGGCCGGATTGCGCCGGGAATGCGGCCAGACTGTGCCAGGAGTGTGAACACAGATTCAGGGGATGTTGTGGGATGTTGTCTGAGTGGACAAACTCACTGTTAAAGAACTCTATGTACAGGATAATTCTATACGGTGTTTTCATGTCCGGAGAAGAGCAGCGAGGGTGGGGAAAGGCTTGGAGCACAAGTCTGATGAGGAGCAGCTGATGGAGCTGGGGGGGTTCAGCCTGGAGAAAAGGAGGCTCAGAGCGATTTCTCACTCTCTAAGCTGCCTGAAAGGAGGGTGCAGCACCTGTTCTCCTGGGTAATGAGCAATAAGACAAGAGGAAATAGCCCTCAGCCTCAGGGAGGTTAGATATAAGGGTGTAAGGAAAAACGTCTTCACTGAAAGCGTGGTTGGGAGGTGGAACAGGGTAGCTGTGGAAGTGGTGGAATCACCATTCCTGGAGGTGTACAAAGGCATAGAGATGTGGCACCTGGGGACACTGTTAGTGGTGAGCATGGCAGTGCTGGGTTAATGATTGAAATCAATGATTTTAGAGGTCTTTTCCAACCTCAGTGATTCTGTTCTGTAACACTGGACCACCCACAGACTCTTTGGGACAGATGTGGATTTAAAACGTGTCCATTTCCAGTCCCAGCATCACCAGAAACTATTAAAAATCATTATTCAAAATTTTTTCTTTTTGATATTCATGTCTTTGTTTTGACTTTCAAGAATTCAACTTCAAGAGAATTGTTCTGTTCCAAAAATTGAAATTCACACGTATTCTTTAAAATTAAAGAAACTCAGGCCCTTAAGAAAAAAAACTAAACAAAAAATTATATGTCTTCATGTATATGTGATAAAAGCGTTATCTACTTGAACTTCACAATTTATGGTTGATTAATAAACTATAACCTGTGTCATATAGATGTTGAAACATTAACTTGCAAGTGCAAAAATTAGTATCAGAGTTGGAAACTTCTACTGTACCCTTAATGAGCAGATATTTGAAGTGCTTGAAGGAAATACAAAGATTTAAAACATTGTCCACCTCATGTTCTTTCCTTCCATGTCTTCTGACTGCTTCTATTTTCAGAATAAATACAAACTTTCTCTATATATACTTATGTTTCTGGAATCTCCAATTAAGGAATCTTCCCTGCTGCCACTCCCTTTTCAGTGCCAGAAGCAGAGACAGTAGATCCTACTCCATCCTGTTCCATGCCCTTTACAACCTCTTCTCACAAGTGTTCCTGCTGTTAATATCATTTATGGACACTCAGAAAGCATTTGATAGCCTTGCAGATTTGACCAGATACTTGAAAAAAGCAAGAGAAAAAAGGAGGAAGAAGGTAAGAGTGTTCAGGAAGGGCATCAGTGAGGACTCTGGAAATGGAAAGATTCTCCTCCACATCAAGAAAGTAAAAGAAAGCCTTACTCTTTCACAGCTCTTTTTTGGTATGCATTTTGGAATGTAATTTAGAATAAACTAATGCCCAAAAGGAAGGGCCTACCTGTGATATCTCCACTGCTGTAGTCTGGCAGACATTTAAAAAAACACCTGTAAGGAAGCAGTTCCTGCAGGCAATCAAGCTGACAGTGCCACTGTCAGTGGCACTGCTATTTTCTTTCTCTGTGGGAAGATGAGAGTGGGAATCACAGCTTCCTCCTAAAGCTTTCACTAAAATGAAGTGAAACCTAGTTGGATAAATAATTTGACTTTAATATATACTTCTGATTACTTATCTCCCTCTCAGCTCTGCCTCCTCACTTTGAATTCAAAGATTTGATAGGGGCATGTTTGAGGTGCCACAGTCACCAATCTGTGCAAGTGAGCAACAAATGGCACCTTTGCCAGGTGAGTTAGGAAGGAGATGTCTGAAACAGAGAAAGATTCCTATTTTCAGAATTTCAGATCTTTGTGTGGCACTGAGAATTCTTTTTCAGCTGCCTGAAAATTGCCATTTTACAACGAAAAAGCACCTTAGGCCTTCCGGCTGGTAAATTTGGTGAATAATTTAATCCCAAGAAGTCACAATACAATTCAGCTAACTGGAGAATGGTAGGAAAATTGCAAAAGGAAAATCCTTTTGACTTTGAGAGAAAGCATGAATCATAAGGGAGAGCCAGGAATTACAAGAAGAGAACCTGAAGGAGATTGGTTATGGAAGAAAAAAGGCATGAAGGTAATCTGAGAAGAAATCTAATCTAACCATCTAATGCCACCTTCCACAAAGACAAGTTTTAAAGTTAAAATAAATACATGATGTTCAACTAGAACTATCCAATGAACTCTGCCAAACAACAGACAGTTTCTTCTCTAAGAAGACTAGGATAGCTTTTCCTCAAAAAGCTAGAAGAAAGCCCAAAACATTTGCCATTCATGATTTCTTAACATTTAATCAATTTAAGATAGACTGTAGTCATTATTTAATTCAGCCTCCTGTTCATTCCTCTTGGAACATGGACAGTTTTGTTTAGTTTTGAGAGCCTTAATATAACTGGCGAGGTGACTTTAGCCTCAAGCAAGTCAGGTCATTTGAGTTTAATTCAAAATTTAACAAACAGCAAAGGAGTCAGAATGGTACATGAAGGTAAATGGGAATGGACAGTTCTCTGCTTCTAAATCCTGGGACTTTGCTAAATTATAGAACACTTAAAAGATGGCACATGTTTTCACTAAGTATTATAACTCTGCTGTTGAAGATATCAGCCAAAGAAACCTCCATATTAACCATAACAACGAGTTATGTATATTTTCCTGAGGTTTAAAGCTTTCCTGTCTTCCCTGTCCCTTCATTGTATTTTACTGCTGTTTACTCTTATCAGAACTTAGGCTTGAAAGGGATAACCCCCCTGAGAGATGAATAGACTACTTATTTGCTTGCTTCTTTTCTACACCTACACCTCCCAATGATTACTTTTCTGTAAACATGCCTAATAGAAATCTGTAAGGGTAGAATTTGTAGGTATAAATCACATATCTGTTCATATGGTGTTCCAACACAGGAATATCTCCGAGTGTAAATGCCTATGTAGGCATATGAAGAGAATGGTGATTTTTAAATCTGGCCTGAGAAGCTGGCCCTTCAGCCTTCCCTCTCTTTCCTTTGGAGACCAGCAAAGAAAAACTGCTCCTAGTAGATTAGTAAATATTAGTTGCTGCATGTCTCCAGAATTTTTGCTCTCTTTAGACTAAGAGTTGGAATGTCTTTTTTCTGTGTAAAAGGATGAGCAGCTAATGGGCTGAGATAAAACAGCTCTCTATGTACAGGAGTAGGTAGCAGAGAGAGCAGAATACCTTACTTGATGTGTCTTTACAGGCACTTTGTAAGCATCACCAGTATTACTTTTATAATTCTTTTCTGATGAATTGTAATGGCAAGAAGCCAGGCATTGATGACTGGTGCCCAAACTGAATTCTCCCTGATCCCAGGAAAAACTGTGGATTTGTGCCTGAAGTTAAAGCAGCTATTCTACTTATTTTTCTATATTTCTATCAATCACAGGCCACAGCAAGCTGTTTATGGATTCTGTCATCCAACCATGCTACTGTGGCTTAGGCCTTGAAGTATTTTGCTGCTTGTGACTACTGACAAGAAATGTATTGCAAAATCCTCAGATGATCAGCTCACAGGGGCATTTCCTCATCACACACACTGGTACTGAACTGACTACATCTGGTCTAATTTACACTTGCAGCAACCCTGGTATAAAGCTACATGAGAACAAAAATAAGACTCTTGACTTAAGGAGATTTATTTTTTTAAGTAACTTTAATTAAGTCAAGATAGGAAATTCTTACTCCTAAGTGAATGTTCATGCATAAACTTGCACTGAAGTACGTGCAGCTGTGGAGGAAAAACAGATCCAGTTGCTCTTGGAAAATAGCTCAAGACAGTGTCAGAAGCCCACTTCTTGCACCTTTGCTAACAATCTCCATGAACCTTGGTTTCCTAGTGTAGGAGCACACAGGGGGGACTTCAGGCACTGTGGCATGGAATGGAAGGAGACATTTGAATACAGTGAAGCTGAGCTGTTCCTCTGCTGTTCTCAGCATGCCCCCTGCACCCAGCTGAACCTCTCTGTGTCAGCCCTGGGGCACCAGCTCTGTCATGGTGCTGATTTGCCCTGCCTCAGCTGCTGCCTGGAGCTCATGATAGTTCCTACACCAAATCAGCTGGAAATGCCTTTGGGAAACAATTCTTGTGAGACACTGTCCTGACAGTAGGCTGGATTATCTGAGAAATATATCCTTAGTTGGCAGCAAAGTGCATTTATTTCATTGGCTTAATGCAATCAGGATCTGTCAGCTTTGAGAGATCTGCTCTGCAAATAAATGACTTAGGCACCAGGAACTAGGCAGGGAAAAGCCAGAAGTCATTGTCCCAAAACATTTGCTCTTTTTACGGTAAATCTCACAGAGAATTTAGTGTTCCTGTCAGGAAGAGATAGATGTGTGTGTATTTCTAACACTATTCTTGCCACCTGACTAACCCCATGTTTGCAAAGTAGCTCAGCAGCATGCTAAAAGAAGGATGAACTGCAAGCTTTGCAAGGATGTATCTCCTTGTCTCTTGCCCTTTGGCATGTAAAAGAACACACAGACACTCAGTGAG